GTTTAAAGACGCCGTTGATTTTAAAATTTCTATTGATTTTATGCTTAAATGTTTAACGAAAGCGTTTAATAAATAAAAAAGATTTTACGAAAGCGATATCGGTTAATATAAGCTTACGGTTTATTTAAAATATTAATTTAGCGTAGTCTTTAAAAAAAGTGTTTTTCGTAAAGCGAAAAAGTAATAGCTTTACGAAAAAGTAAATAAAAAAAAAGTTTAACGATCTTAAAAAAAAAAGCGAAAAGAAAACGATTTTAAAAAGAAAAAGATGATTTTGCGATTATCGTTGCTATTTGATTTACTCGTAAATTATAATTTATAAATGAATTAGCGTCGTAAGCTTTTTAAAAGCGGTTTAAAGCTCGATTACGCTTATTAGCGTCGTATCAATAACGAGCGTTTACTTTACGCTGATTAAAGTATATAATCTTAATAAGTTTAACGTAAATAGCGATCGAAAGGTTAAAACGAAGCTAATAAAGCTTACGGCGAGCGCAATTAAAAAGAATCTAATGCTTAATTAACTATGCTCGTTCGAAGATCACGCTATAATTTTTAAAGTTAATAATAAGAAAAAAAGTAAAAAATTAAACGCGCTTATTAACCGTAAAATTAAGAAGTGCAAAATGTAAGATAATAGCTTTACAAGCTTTATTATATGATTTGATGAAGAATAAAGCCGAAAAAAATTAAATTAAAAGTTTAAAAAAAAAAGAAAGTGATTTAAGTAGCGCTAAGTTAATTAGCGCGTACTTATTAGCTCTTAAGTCGAGCAAAGCAAATACTTTATACGAAAAGCTATTCTTAATAAAAGTAACGGGTATAATTATAGCTTTATTATTAAAGAGCTTCGTAAAATCGAAGTATCGTATATCTCGAAGCTAGCTTAAGAAAAAGGCTTTGCTTAAGCTTCGACGTTTCTTTTATTATCGAAAGCGTTGAAGTTAATAAAAAAGAGCTCTTAATAATCTTTAAAAGCGTCGGAGTAAAGCTTATCGTTCGAGTCATCCGAATAAAAGCCGTATTTAAGTCTAGCGTCGTATTTTATTTCGTTAATTAAGTAATAGCGAAAAAGCTTCGGCGTATTCGAATCTTTACGAAACGATTTAAAAGTTTTAATCGCTAATTTAAAAGCGTTTCCGGAAAAAAAGAATTTATTAAATCGATTAAATCGATTTGCATTAGCGCTAAAGCTATTAAAAGTTTAACGTTAAAAAGTAAAAAAAGAAACGGAAGCTAAGTTACTTTAGCGGTTTTCGTAATAAGTGATTTACTTAATCGCTGTTTTTTAAGTCGAGCGAGATTCGTTACGAGCTTTATTATAAAAGTTTTTCGCGAATTAAGTATTATACTTAGCTTATAAAGCATTATAAAACTTTGCAAACGCGTATTAGCTAGCAGTTAATTGCTAAACGGCGGTTTAAAAGTTTTTAAAAATTATAATTTTAATAAATTTTAAATAAAGCTGATCGCGTAGCGTTTTAATAATTTTAAAACGCAAAACCTTACGTAATCGGTCTTCGTCTTTGATTTCGGCGATAGCGGCAAGCTTCGAGAAAACAAAGTAAAAGTTTTAAAATTGCTAGTTAAGCTTTATATAAAGTTTTTCGAACTTAATTAACGCTTTAGCTTTTTTAGTAAAGTCGTTTAAGAACTCGAAAACGATTTAAACGAATTCTAAAGCGGTTATAAAGTTGTTACGATCTATGATTAAAAAAGCTAAGAATAAGTAAGCTATTTTTTCGATTTAATCGAAGACGTAGTTTTTGCGCTAGCGTTTTATAAAAAAGTATTCTTTAAAAACTTTTAAATTGTCGAAAACGCGAGCTTGCTAATAACGTGCTCGATAGCTTACGCTATTTAAAAGCTTTTATTTAAGGTTAAAGATCCGCTCGATACGAGCGCGACTTTAAAAAGCTAAAGAAAAGGCTTTAAAAGTGTTAAACTTAATTAAAGTGCGAAAGTTGGTTAGCTTATAAAAAGAAAATAGTTTATTATCGTCGGCGAAAAAGCGGCGAAAGTTAGCGGTTTTATAAATAAAAAGAGTAATTTAAAAGACCGAAAGCTTATATAGTTCTTTGCTTTTAAAGTTATCTTCGAAAGACATTTAAAAAAGCTTTAACGAGCGTTTCGTAATTAGCAAGATCGCTTAAAGCTAATCTAATTTTTTTCGAGCTCGACGAGCTTTTTTTTTAGCTTTATCGGCGAAGGTTTTTTGCTCGCTAGCGCTTTTATCGAGCTCTTCGTTGCGGGTTTTTATGTTTGCGAAAAGCTTTTTAAGCTTAACGGCCTTTCGTTAAGACTAAAAGAAAACTTAGTATTAAGCTAAAGCTTTTTCGAAGTTAATAAAAGCCGAAGGATCATCTTTATCGTCTTGCTTACTAATAGCTTCTTTTTAAGTAAAAAGAATTATTAATTAAGCCGTGAAAAAAAAAGAAAAAGCTATTAAAGCAGCTTTAAGAAATGTACGAAAGATTTTGCTCGCGGAGCGAAGATTGCTGTGTTATATAAATGCTATCTTTTAAGTTATACTTAAAATAAGCTTTCTCGTGATCGTTAAAATCGTTTGAGTGTTTTAACGTTTAACTATTAAAGAATTCTAAAAAAAAAAAATTATTAAAGCCGTTCCCGGCGAAGTAAAGTAGTTATTAATAATATGACGACCTTAAGCGATTACTTAAAGGAACTTACGAGAGCGCGAAGGTTTATATAAAAGCTTAAGAGAATTTTAAAGTAATAACTTAGAATCAACAACTACCGAGTGTAAAAGTTGAAAGTAGCTAAAGTCTATATATACGAAGGTAAAAGCGCTAAGGACTCGTAAACTATGGTTTATAAGTCAAAAGCGGAAAATAAAAGAATACGAAGAATACGAAGGAAAAAAGGAAGGAAGTAGCTTGGCGCATATGAGGTGCGTCCAAGAGACCTGGCGTGTCGTCACACTATTGCCGAAAGGGTTAAAAGGGTTCCAACCGAATTGGTATGAGGTAAGGAATTGTATCTATAGCGTTTGCTGCAATTGAGTAGGGTCTAAAGGAGGAGAAAGAGGAAGAGGTTGCTAGTCTAAAAAAAGAGGAGAAGGAGGTTGCTAGTTTAAAAGAGGAAAAGGAAAAGCAAGTATAGCTTTTTTTTTTGAACTCCATCTTTTTCTTTAAGTTTTTTAAGACTTATTGCGAGTCGGAGGTCCATTCGAGAGGTTTATCGTTTAAAAGGATATCTACGAATACCTTTTTATAAAGTATACTAATACTAATAAGCTTGATTAATACTCTATTTAAAAGTAGATATCGCTAAAGGTTTTTGCAGCAAATCCTCGTAGCTAATGCAAAGGTGTCTTGTATCTAGCTTTCGAAGTCTTCTTAAAACAACTCCTTTAAGTTGATTCTAAAGTATCGATAAATGTTTTCGTAATTGATAAGCATTAAAAAATTATAACTATTTACGATCTCCGTAGTGTTTTCTATGCTTGCAAGGTCGAATTTCCTCTTTTAAGCTTCCTCGTCGACTTTAAAGCCTATATGATCGGACATAAGTGATATGTTTTCGTATTAAGGGCGTGTAAAGAATGATTGTCTTAGAAAGGGTATCGTAAGAAGGTATCGTAAGAAGGGTGTAGTAAGGAGTGGTGGGTTTTTCGTAAAAGTGAGTGAGTGAGTGAGTGAGTGAGTAAGTGAATTTGCGTAATAAACGCAATTGAACAAGTATCGTTCTTAAGTTCGTAAGTTCGTAACGAAAATAAAAAGATCAGGTCCTCTTCTTAGCGCAAAAGTACTTTAAGGAGCAAGGCGATCTTCGTATTAGAAAAGTCGTTCTCTTTACTTAAGTAATTGCCTCTTTTAAGAGTTACTTTGCTGTTTATAGTTTGTAAAGTAAACTATTGATCAGTGTTAATATCACAAAGTGATGCAAAGTCCGAATACGTATTCGGGTTGTTCGAGTGGATTCAGTTTGTTTTGCATACATATCTAAATACGTAAGGTAATAGCTTCTTATAGCTACCGATGCAAACGGAAGGTACAAACAGATTCCTACGTGACTTGACTTGTTTGGCTGAGTTGACTCAGCTGAATGTAATCAACCAGGCTGACCGCTGGTTCAGCCTCTGATCAAGGTCTCAGTTCCAACATTAATTCCCTTTCTTTCTTTACTTCTTCCGGAAAAAGTTCAATAGATTTACATAGAATAAAAGTCTTGGCACGCTTAGAAATCCTGCAGATCCGTATAGAAAATTTCACGTAATTGGATGACTAATCACCACTACAACTACTGGAATTTATCTTGGGTCACCGTTAGTGACAATAACAATTGCTATAGTATAAAAGAATTTTCAATACACTCGAAAAATCCGCACTCGCTTCCGATCCGCAATCGCTTATACCGATTAAGACTGAAAGGATAAAAGGAGGCCCATCTAAGCGAGCCGACGATTATCAGCGAATGAAAATAATCGCCCTTTACCTTGAACGTTGACATACGAAAAATCCCGCCAGATCGGCATCAGCTCATTAGATCACTTACTAAATAACAATTACGGTCAAACAATAAGAAAATGATAAAAAAAAGAATGTGTATGCCCAGAACACATTTTTATATGGACGTGAGTGATAAATATAAAAATGCTTCTCTTTATCGTAAGCTAAAACAATGTAACGTAGCGAGAATATAGCTAAAAACTATTCCAAATAATCAAACGTTACTCGTCCGCTTCAGATATCTTAAGAGTCTCAGCCTTAATTTATATATCCAGTCTTTATGTACGGCTTCTTATCGTAGTTTAATAATCATATAACGGCGTAGCTTTACATTCCAGAAGCTGGATCGTTCGTTACTTAACTTAATAGCTTCTTGGCTAATCGGTGAACCCTTGAGGACCTTATTAATTATCTAGGTTCTAAAATATAATATATTAGAAGACGTAGATTTCCCATCAGATAGTATCTGCTTAAGGTTGTCGGCTTCGAAGTCCCTACATTGGTATCCTCAAGCGAGGCAAGGAAATCATGACCATGACTCTAAAGCAGCAGGATTCTTTCTCTGGCCGCGCTCATCACCAACAGGTGGTAAGCACGTCAGCAAGCTGCCTCCTCTTCCTGATCTACCATCCTCGCGGCCCAACATCCTCATCGTCCTACCCTAGGCGATATGCTCGAAGTTCTTGTATCTTCCTTACATCTCTCTCCGTGTCAACGCAGAGAAAGGAATGCTCCCGTCAGCAGCGCCGCGCGCGTGATGACGCTTCCGTCTGATACTTACGGCTCGCCGAGCTTCTCACACCATCGTGATCACGGAGCCTCGCCTCCTTCATCGATATCCCATCTTGCGATGACCGAGATCGTTACAGTTTCCAGCTTTCAGTGGCGCGCAAAACGGCACTCTGAGGTTCTCTGAATCTTCAATGGGATGGTGCCAGTCACTTACCCGGACGAAAGGTACCTCGGCCAAACGCCTAAAGCCTGTTCCTAGCTAACTCCCGTGTGCATTCCCGTGTGTGTATTCAGGGACGTTCGGGTGTTACTACGGGAGATCGACGACGGTGATATGATAGAAAGAGGAAGTGCCGGCGAAGAAATGATCTTTCCAAATCGTCTTGTTGGAAAATTTTAATAAAGGCGGCTTTCAGAAGTAGGGTCGGACCGCTGAGCTTATAGCTAAAGCGACGGATAGACTCGAACTCTTAGGTTGAGATGCAGATCTGTCACGGCAGTTTGGCCAATAGATAGTATATAGCAGCTCCAGCGTGGGAGATGGGGCTTTTGTAAACCAAACAATAGACACCAGCTTTACGCTGTTATCTAGAAGAAAGGGTTCGGCAATTTGTGCTTGGAGATTATATGCGAGGTCTTGGTTTTTTTTTCTCAAGGTATTGGGATTGAATAGAAAGGATCTGCAGAATGATTAAATCGATGCAGTGAGGTTATTATACAAGGAGGGCTATTGGTTACATGGAAGTACTTTTTCTGCCTGTTCCGAGGGCTGGTTGTTGGATCTCGAAGGGTTCAGTACGGCTTGTAAGATGTAGATATCATATGAAGTAACATCTCGTTGTGAGAGAACTAGAGCTTATGATAGATACACTTCACTCAGCCCCCCACTCCCAAAGAATCGATGAGAGAATCGACGAGAGTAGCTTTGGTGCAAGCTTGATTCGATATCACATACATCCCTGGCCGCAAAAGCCGTTTCGTTATGGACGAGGTTATCCCCTGTGCGTGTTCTAGGTAGGCTGGCGGAGCCGGTTCCGAGCAGAATTTACAATCGAGATCCTTACTCACTGATAACACATGCACAATCGATAATATTTTGATAGAGTGAGTCGGGTGTCATTTTGTGGCGAGAATTCCCTGAACCATCGAAACGAGGTGGGTAGATAGATAGCACATACACAGCATCGCCATCATGGAAATTTGGTCACTGGCCGCGGTGGGGAAACATTACATCATTCAACGAATCCCTAGGGATTTGCAAATAGGACTTGAGTCGTCTAGGATAGGGACTATCTGTATCTGTATCTACTACGTAGATTGAGAGGCTCCGATGCCTTAACGCGGAAGGAAGTTGAGGTAGGCAGGGGTACCTGGCGCGGAAAGAGAGCTAGCTGCACCTGCTACTACATACGTATGTGGGGGATTTTTATACCGGTATTCCTTCGTTTGGCTCTAAACTTGGATTGCTCGCCGTACCATTGATAATACAACTATGATATTCCCGCTACAGATATCTGACTTGGGTGCTCATCACAGTAGGGAGGGCTTCTGGCGCCGTAGAGGACTGTGCAGGTATACAGACAGAGTACGGGGTTCGGACTTGTCCAGCATAGAAAGTGAGAGAAAAGAAAAATTGGTTATAGCTTGATAGCAACAGTGATAGTATGACGTGGACTCTGATACAACTAGACCCGTAGGAGCAAAGAAACTTTTGGGTGCGTTGTTGGAAAGATCCGAGGTTAGCCGACTCCGTTCAATCGAGAGTCCATTCGTCTGTTGTGCAGTATAGAAATAGCAAAAACAAAACGAATCAAGCGGTGAGTGAGTAGTGGGGTATTGTAAGCGCTATATACCATAGCCCTTCGGAATCCTGGCGGACAAGTTCAACGATGATGATGGTCGGATCTCTCTCATCGTGTAGAGTTGCTCAGCTATCGAGATGTTTACCTATTACGGAAATCTCGTTTTTTTCCGAGCGTACATCCTCTTGAGCTGGCTGGCATTTGCTTTCTTCCCATGTTACTATTTCTGCACATGGCATAATTCTGCACTTTGTAGAATACGACCGCGCTTGTTTCTCCTTCTTATAAGCGTGCTGAAGTGATGCTGGGAACGGATGGCTAATCCAGGAGTGGAGCGCTCGGAGCCGGCCGACATGTAAAGGGTTGGGGGCGGAGTTGCTGCCCTGAAAGTTGTAGAATAAGAAGGAAACACTCTACGGGGAGGGAGGGCCCCTTAGAGGCAGTGTAGGAATTGAGTACTGTGAGAGTACAGAGTAGTGCTTCCAGGGCAAGTGTTTTGCGTCGCTGACCCAGGTTCATATCCGAGGATAAGAAGGGGACTTGTAACCTCGGCCATTCGCCCTGAAGAGCTTGAAGAGAGCTCTGTCGCTCCGATCCACCAAGCAGAGAACGGGTGGGGTGACATCAGTTTCTTGATCTCGTTGTATCAGTACAACGTGCTTACTACGTACGTAGTACGTAGTATATCCAGCATCGCGGTATCGCAGCATCGCAGCATCGCAGCATCGCAGCAGATCTCGCCGAAACTTTCCTGCGTTTCTGGCGCGGAGGCTCGGATTTGTCCACTGTGATACCGGTACGCCCACGTCAAAGGACTCCGTGAAAAGCTTGAGAGCCTGCCAGACGGGATACACCAGGGTTCCACCATGCATGGAGCGCGCGACGAGGCGCAACCGTTCGAGCGGTTACGTGGATGAGTGCGGCATTAATGTCTCGCAGGCTACAACTACCACGTACTACTACTACGTACTACGTACAACTATACCGGTAGTAGATACTGTACTACTGTACTGTACTATACCGGTATACTCTGTAACATCGATCCCGGAGTTCGGACCTCGAGCCATCGATTTACAGGGAGGCCATACTCTGTCTGTACTGTACGAGTTGCTTGACTGCCCCTGCTCGTCGGGGCGAGAGACGACATGGGGGCCGCTGGGCATGCCGGCAGCTGAACATTGCTTTGGCTTGGGCCACCGTGCACACGAAACGGAGAAGGGAGCAAAGAAATCGTAGGATCTGAACCTTGCCGTGATGAGAGAGCCGGGGAGATCTGAGAAGGAGTCTATACTCTGTACGGAGATCTTCTCGGATCTGGATTGTGCAAAGGGGACAGGGGAAGGGGAGGGCTGCATCACGGACCCTGGAGGCTTGCGTGGAAAAAGTCAATCGTGAGTCCGCGGCTTATGCATACTTTCGGTGAAGTACCTACGGTATGCACGTATTGTTTCCACGGCTAATCGTACTTACTGTACGTCAGATCAACTTGGCTGCTTTGCCTTTCGGCTATTGTCAACAGAAATAAATCAATACGTACAGTAAGATAACCGAGACAACTTGAACGACTGCCCTGCCCTGCCCTGCCCTGCCCGGCCCTGCCCGGCCCTGGCCTGCCGCGTCCGTTCGAGCAAGTGAAAAGTCAAGCTCACATCAGGGTCCTCTGCTCCAAATAGGAAATGAGAACTCAATCGAACGGGTCTACCTTTCCGTACTGTACGGCAGGGGGATAGCAGCGAAAACCACTACAGAGTATACTCCGTCCTCTACGAAGTACTGTATACACACCCGTCAGCTTCAAACTTTGCAAGACGCAAACGCAAGAACAATACACCTTTACAGCCCTACCTATAATCAACCAAACCCTGATCCTACCGAGGAGCCCGGCTTCCGAACAATCCAAAAAGTTGATATATAGTAGTACAACTATAGTACTACATACTACGTAGTAGTAGTTGTCTATACAATCCCGCGAGCGCCTTCGTCCGGTTCAAGACCTAGCCGGACCCGCTACAGCTGGTGCACGTCCTTGTCTTGGGTGCCTTCTTAGGCTTCGAGATTTGGGCGAACTAGCCCCAGCCGCCCCATGTGCCAGCCAGCGTTGGATTGACTCGGGGGCAGCGGCTCACCCTTTTCATAGCTGGGCCTTCGGAGTCGCTCGTCTATCATCCGGATGATGAGACGACGGGAAGAATCGCCATCCGCCCGGTGCTGGGAACGCCAACAATGCATGACAACATCACCATAATGGCTACTTGCATCAGCTGTTGGATACGGGGACTCCATGAGGTCCTCCATCCAAGTACTACGCACGTCGCGGCCATCGCTAAGTAGTAGTATACTACAGTAAAGCTTCAAAAGGAGCTCCTGCGCCTCCCCACAATATTAAGCTTCAAAAGCTCTTTAAGCTCTAATGCGAATTTGATTCGATAGACAGTCATAATCTACCACAGTTCAGCCTTAATCCAGTACAGCTAATTACCGCCCGAGTTTGGCTCAAGAGTTTTGAATCTCCACTTTGAACACCCTGGTTTCCTACCGTAACCCTCCGGCGGTAATTACTCTACGGTCGAATCAGAAACACAAATACTTTGTACTTACCGTAGCTTTGGCTTAGAGTTGTACTACGTCGCAGGCGTAAGTATTACCCCTCGAGGGTAGGGAAAACAGGGGGTTTAAAGTGGAAACTAAACTTTTAAGGCACCCTCGAGGGGTAATACTTAGGCCTGTACCGTGGTAACTGGATCCAGATTGATCACGAGGAGGGAAACTATACGTTACGTCAGATGACTTGCTTCTAGTTGTAATCGCAAGTTGTAGCTGCGAAGCACTTGGCCGAACGATAGGTATTATTCACGGGTCATTAAATCATAATTGTAGTTCGTTACGGAGTATTCGAGTGGTGGATTAGCTACTGCCGTGTGCGTTTTGGTACTCGGATGATAGAGCTCGCAACTTTCAAGGGTAAGACGAATTAAGAAAAAACATTAAAAAAATAAAAATCGGTGGTTAAACGAGCCGTTACTGGGATTGTTCTCGCAAAGTACTGTACGTACTCTCCCCCCTAAATACTGTAAATGTAATACCGGCTCTTTTGTGGGCCGATTCCAGGGGACACAGCAAGGGGTCGTAGTGGGGTCTACAAGGGCTTTAAGCCAATTGAAATAAAGGGCCGCTTAACTCTACTTATCCTTCGTCTTTGCCTCGAATCTTTCCTTTTGCTTAAAATTCTTATGTATACGACCCGTTCTCACACTATTAATAGCGATCGTAGAAACCCATCAGTGATGAGATTCACCGATCCCTCTACAGAAGAGCACCTTCTACGACTATTGCTCCTCCAATACCGAAAAAAAAAAAAAAATATCGACGTGTACGCTCGAAAGGAACTACTCTCTCTCTGAGAGAGATATTTTCTACTTATTGACAACGCTTGATCGATCTCGCTTGGAAAGGATACGAGAAATCATATCGGAGGCCTAAGACGCTCGGTATTCTTGATACTACTAGCTAGCTCTATATCGGATCTGTACACGAATCGTACGTACAGTAGCAGAGGCGTTGTCAAGCTGCCATCGATGCTCAAGGAGGGCCAACTCCACACTGGGTAGAATCTTAACCGATCGATCTTTGCTTTATTCCAATTGGCTTGCAACCCTTGTATACTCTATTACTGCTATTACCCCTTTCTATACCCCCCTGCTATACCCCTTGGAATCGGCCTGCAAAAGACCCAGTATTACTACTGTGCGTACTAGTAGTACTAGGGGGGAGTAGTGCAAGGCTGCTCCCCCCCCCCCCTTTCAAAAAGCTAAATAAAACGACCGGCAGTTACAGAGTAATACGTAGTACGTACGTACGTAGTAGTAGTAGTACTGTAAGTAATGCGCGGAAAGAACATGGGGGGTCTCGATGGTTCTTACGACATTGCTATTAGCGCATGTCACTAAAGCTCGGAGGACATTACTCTGCAGATTAGTCTTCTTTCCCTCTCGGTACCGAGTCGAAAGCATGAATCGCCGCTGAGGTACCGGTACCGACCGACGCCAACTGTCAGAAAGAATAAAAAGAAATTTGTACATATATTTATATATCTATATCTATATCTATATATATATATGTATATATATGCACAATGGGAAACGGGTGACTCAATTCTGTTCCGAGATGCGAGTGCCCGCTGATGAAGTGAGCACCAACTAACGCCCAACAGCCGACGACTGACGACTAAGTGCCGCGTCCCCTTTCGCTGGGCACTACCCGGGTGCCTGTAAGGCTACGTACGGTACGGTAGCTGTCGGGCTATCGAGTCTTGGGTTGCTGCTGCGCGTGCGCTGGTTATACCGACTTTTAAACGGACCTGCAAATGGACATGATCGACTTTTTTTTTTTTTTTGTTAAAAAAAAAAAACCCATCACTCCTCTGTTACAATTGGCTATCTCTAAACATCATCTAAAATATTATCGCAATGGGAAAGACTTGGACGATTATAATAGATGATAAAGCCAGGTGCCAATATCAGGTTTTTTTTTTTTTTTTTTTTTTTTGTAAGCTGGATATTTTAGATGGAGAATCAATCACTCCAACGTCGATGCTCTGACATCACCCAGCCTGCGCAAGCCGCAAGCCATGACCGGTACTTACTCCATCTTGGCTGCGGCCGGTTCACACGGTAACGGGGCTCCTCCTCTTGGTTACCTACTGTACGTAGAGGACACGCGATGGCGTGCTCCCCCAAGCACTGGAGTGCTGCTCTCGACTCTCGCGAGGCCTTGGACCTAACCTGGCTGAGATGCGCCTCGATACGCCGTCGGGCTTTCAAGCCTTGCTCACCAGCACTGCACAGGCGCGACTGCCAAGCTGCCAGGCTGCTCGTAAAAAAAAGGGGGGGGAAGGGGGGCGCTGACTGACTGACGCTCTACCCTCTACGTACGAACTGCGGGCCCTAGCACCAGCTCTTGTTCTGACCCAGACGCTCGACCCATCCAGTGAGTGTACCGGTAATGCTTTAGCATGAGGGGCACGAACGCGTGAAGGCGGTGTAAGACGTATAGATACGACTATAATCCGACGTGCTGTTTCGACGGTCTGACCTCGCTTATCTATTAGTTTTTATTTTCATTTTCATTTTTTATTTTTTATTTTTTATTTTTTATTTTTTATTTTTTATTTTTTATTTTTTATTTTCCTACCCTCTCCAGTCTTCGAACCCTGCCTACTGCTGGCTAACCTCGCTCCGGGCCTCGACCCGTATCGTCCCCCCACGACTCGCATTCTAAGCTTGCGACAGCATAGCATCCCCTGCCTGCCTTGTTCTTTCAGTTCTTCACCTCGCCCCCGTCGTCAGCGCTGTACGTAGGTACTCGTACGGGAATACTGCTATCTGCTGCGCACTTAATAGTAGTTAGGCTCGCAGCGGGAAATACTCTCTCCACTTCTCTCTCTCTCTCTCTCTCTCTCTCTCTTTGAGCACAAGCCAAAAGCGATCTACCTTCTGATACCGAATTGGGGTTGAGAGAGCCTCGGTAAGCAGGTTACCTACCTACCTACCTAGCGGAGCAGGCAGGCCTTTGCCACATCCCGTTTGGAACGTGAACTCGCTTGGATGGAGAGTGGAGTGGAGGTGGCCTCACCCACCCTCCTCGCTGGGTGCGATAGCTCGTGGCCGACAGCTTCTCTGTCCTGTGGGCGCACGGGGGAAAGCGCACACACACACACACACACACACACACACACACACACACACAGGCTTTGCGAAGTAAGCTAAGTACGTAGTAGAAGGGATAAGTAGCAGCGCCGGGGCCCGCTCTCGTGCGATGATTTCTGACCCGGGGATTGTCATCTCCAGATCGAAAGTTTCTGATCTGATGCTGGGCGAGGCCCGGCTTGATTGGGGAGGGAGAGGAGGAAGCGTCAGGGTCGGGGTCGGGATCAGGGTAAGTGGGTTGCTATCAGATGTCATATCCTGGATCTTTTCTTGCGTGGAAAGGCAGGCGGGCAGACGGGCAGACGGGCAGACGGGCAGGGAACGTACTACTAACTTGGTAACACACGGGTGAGGATGGATGGATGGATGGATGGATGGCTAGGTAAAAGCTAAGGTAACATCGGATTCAGCTAATGCGCCGACGTTGATTGGCCAGGGACCGCATCGCATGTCGTAGAAGTACGGAGCATACCTACATACATGCTACTTACACACATACATACATACAGGAGGAGGCGGCTGTCACGTTTGATTGGTGCCTTTACGGGTCTTGCGCAATGCATACACACGGAATACATACGTGCGTACATACATCCGTACATTCTGTACTGTACTGTACTGTGATGCCGGCGAGCAGGATGGAATAGATCTCATACCCTCCCTCGCGAGTGTGACAGCGATCATGCAGAGCTTTTCCTGCCATGCGCTTTGCTGCAGCTCCGTACGGAGTCACACATACTCCACTCCCAACGTACATATGCAGCCGGGGCGGATTCCAACCCGACTATTGGATGCCGGACCCGGGGCACGGTTTCGTTTTCTTGTCTCGTTCTATGCTAGACAGCCGGTGTGGCCTCGGAAGTGAGACACACACATACGTATAGTACAGTACAGTACAGTACAGTACAGTACAGTACAGTAAGTAGTAACCCAGCTCAGAGCTCTCGGCTGCGAAGCGAAGCGAAGCGATGTCTTTTTGTTTTTCTTCCGCACAGCTAGCTGCTCCGTAGGTATTACGGAGAATCGACCAGTGTTCTTTCTGGGTTTGCTCCAGTCGAGACACGATGATGATAATGATGATAATGATGATAATAATGATGATGATGATGATGATGACGATGATGGGCGTTGATTAGTAGCGCGTGCGAAATGCAGTAACTCGTGCAAGAGCGGAACTGTACTTACGTAGGTTGTTATTAATAAAGAAAAAGAATTTAAATTTTTAGCCTCAACGTACGTATTTAGTCTCCAGTCTCAGAGTCTCACGAGGTCGCTTGCAAGATGGCCCGAGACATGCAGCTGTCAGACATGAATGTGCATCTGCAGCGTTCTTCGGGATGAAAACAAAAAAAAATAAACGAGCGAACGAGCGGACGGCGCGCGAGAGACCCCCCCTGTCCGTTCGCGCTGTCCATGTAGGATTCCGTACCGGATCCGGGCCACTGGGTTAGATCGAGTGGGAGAATCCGTGCTTGGATCAGATGGAAGAAGCCCGCCGAGGAGGGCAGGTGGTTCGATCCCATCGCAACCGGTTCTTGGAGGTGGGTGGGTGCGGAATGGTGGAGTCCACGTACACGGCGCGGTGCCACATATCTACGTACGTAGTAGGTCTGGATATCCGGATTTGCATCTCTGTAGCGGGAGTCGGACCTCATGACTTTTGGGGCCCTTTCTGAAACGTGGGCGAAATGTGTCTGTCCCGCCCCCCCAAAAAAAGGAAAAGAAAAAAAAAAAAAGGAAAAAAAAGGGGGAAAAAAGGCGCAAAAAAACCACAATATCCAGGCGGAGATGTGGCGAAAATCGCGGAAAATTACCACTTTGATCGCGTGCATCCTAAAAAATGTCAGAGCCATAGTGGTAAAGTTTACCTATTTGTAAAGGACATTCTCAAAGTATCGGTACGTCGAGTTTTCATATTTCAATTTGTTTGAATCAGGGAAGCATTGAAAGAGCACACATGTGGTTCTGAGCGCCTTTGAGGTAGAGATCGACACCCCCTTCTCAACGACATTGATTAAGCGAGGTTGTTGGAAAAAGGTACCAGACAGTTTCCTATCGGATTTACTACTGTACTAGTAGAACAAATTAGATCGCCCACTTTAAGTGATGCGCGGGTCTGTGTAGGAGGGAGCGGGCGGGCATCGGTCTAGGTCCAGTTGTAGTTAGTAGTACTTGGTACTTACTACTAGTTGGTCTCGAGTCGGCTAAAGGCTGATCTGCCGAGACGCGACCCTGGGCCTGGCTCCTGGGAGGTGACGATCTGGGCAGTGGGCATCGGGACCTGGACCTGCCTAGACCTGGACCAGGACCTGGACCTGGACCTGGACCTGGACCTAGACCTAAACGTATCAAAAAGCTCGGATCACGTCCTACCATATATACCCGTCCCATAACCTGCCTCTGTTATAGGTTTATGACATGATATGATATGATAAGAATGAGCGTGACCATTTGAGACGGGACGACTTGCTGCTGTAGCATCGGTGGCTTCGGCCACTGAGGCGAGTGGAGGAGCGGGATCGGGGGAGTGAAAGCGTCCGTACGTTTCGCCTAGCATAGGAGTTGTTGTTGTAGCGGGCTAGACCTGTAGCAGCAAGCCTCTGGTGAGGTGTACCGGTACTAGTCCTGTCAAGGGCTGTACGCACGGGTGTAGTACTACTACTACTACTAGTATGTAGATTACCACGTACAGTAGTAGTAAATTCCCAGTCTCATCAGCGGCTGCGGCAGTTCTCGTCCACGATCCCTCGGGGGATCTGCCGTGTGCCCGTTCTCTCTTCACGCTAGGTACTGTACGTGCTGGGGAGTATCTATAGCATGGCAAATATACGTAGTAGGACTAGTCGTGGCTGTACTAGTACTGCTATTACTATGTACAGTAGTCTACGAGTATAAGTACGGAATCACCCCTGACACGTTCTCAGCCATGCCGCTGTCTTGGGTGCTGGCACTTCCGCACATTTTAGCTTTCGGAATGGGCTGACAAAAAACAAATGGGCTCTTCTTGGGTTCATGAAGACGGGGATCATTGATTGCATACTATCTACTACGAACAGTTGATTGTTGGAGAACACTCTCGCCCCTGAAGAGGGGGGAGGAATGCTGTCAGACTATATATACTACGTACAATGCTACAGTGATTCATTGATACGGTACGGTAGTTGATGTGGGGATATCACTGATACAGTACAATTATACTACCCGCATAATGTACCCTGTAATAGAGACTCGTATAATGGTCGATCCTGGTAGCTAGTTCGGTCGGTAATCTATAATTCAACTAGATTAAGGCTGAAAGGGGATAGCACTACTAGCTAGTACTAGTAGCTACAGTTGCGCGTCTGGGTCCGTCCGCCACTTGAAGTTTGGTTGACTCGCCAGGCTCCTCCGTCCAGGACGCTACTACAGTACCTACTATAACTAATTATAGAGAGTACAGTGCACTAAATACTCCGAGTGTGAAGTATATGCCGGATCGATCGGCCTTTTTAGGTTTGACAGCCCTCCCTCTCCCTCCCTCTCTCTCTCTCTCCCAGACCCAACCGATGTCACCGCTCCAAACCCACACCAGCCTAACCATCTGCTAGGATTTCTGGATCGGACCCGAAAGCAAGATAGTACTACGTACTTGTACTAGTAAGAGTCAAACAAAGAAGTTGTACGGTAGTACTACTAACGACGTGCCGTGCGGAGCCCAGTAAAGTCCGGGTATCGGCATTGTACTACCCATCGGCACTAGACTTCACCACAAATAGGTATTGTTTATTTACATCGCCTACACGTCAGGCAGTTTCGCCCATCATCTTGATAGGTACGTAGTAGTATAGTGGAATATGCCATCTGATCTTTCCAACCGTGCATGCTACTGCTGTTGGCTGTCTCGCCATCTGCTAGGTAGTTGTACTGTTTTCCTTTATTTACTGTATTTTCATCTCATACCTACACACGGCACAGCTAACTAGACAGCTCACTAGTGACTACCACATACTGCGTACAACCAGTGCCCAACCTGACCTCCTACGTACCTTACGCACTTTCGCTCCCTCCCCCATCCCCCCGAACAAGTCCCTGACTCCACCGCCACCATCCTTGCGGGTGCATGGCCCCGACCCTGCCAGCCAGTCTGGGATCAGATCGAGATCTAACATGATCGAATCGAAAGTTCGAAACTATGCCGGCTGTGTGTTGCCTTAGTACCAGGTTAGATGAGATGAGACGGAGACGACACTCGTGAGAAGGAGGTCATCACCCTCTCTGATAGCCCTGGTGTTTTCTTAAGTGTCAGTAGTGTGTGATATTGACATTTGATCGTCGTGATATTCTTGTTCTCGTCCTTTTTCTCCGAGTAGGACTTTGAGGTTATCGCTGGCCCGGACGTATCGTAGGTTTCTCTGTACTAGTTGTGCTGCTATTGCTACTGCTACCGCTACTGCTACCGCTACCGCTACCTACCTACTACTACTACTACTACTACTACTACTACTACTACCACTTGCCTCTTCGACTGGTGGCTTGGCCCTACGATCCTTCGCATGTGCAGTTACTTTAATCAATGACCGGTAAGGTGTGCTTGTGTACAGATATGCACGTACTACTACATAGTAGTAGTAGTAGTACGTACTGTAGTAGCTGTGGAGTCTAGATGTCTCTCCTTCTTCTTCCTTCAAAAAGCTAATCCCTCCCCTCCCTCCTCCCGCCTGTCCCACAGAACTCTGCCTGTGCATAGAGTTCAGGTCCTCTCCGTTCCCGTCTCAACCCTCGTGGACTCATCGAAACAGGTCAGGGGCACATCGCTCCCCCGGTTCGTTGCCGTTCTGTATCATAATTATCTGGACTCTCGCCGATCTCTCCATATTGCCTGGTATCCGTCTACCGTTCGTCGCGTGGAAGAGAGTCTGCGCCTCTCAGCCCATCCCATCGTGGGCTCAGAAAACCACCTCTCGTCCTGTGCGATTCTGCTCCCTTTCCCGGAAAACTCGACCCATCGACCGACCTACCTATCTCTTCTTCAACCATCGTGTCAACGATAGCTATACGACGCACCGCAAGCACAACTACCGCAACCACAGCAACAGCAACAGCAATCACAGCAACAGCAATCACAGCAACAGCAACCAAAGCAACACCGTCGACAGAAACAACATCATCGTCGACAACCCAAACACCTTTAGCGAGCTAGCTAGTCGAGTTCATTCTTTCCCGAGCTATCAACCCTGCCAGCTATTCAAAATCTCGCCAGGACAGTCTTGATCCCGAAAAGAAGAGTTCCGGCTCTCTTGACACTGCCCCCCCTCCCCCGCCCTCCTGCTTGATCTCCTCAGCAAGCCCAGTGAGTTCCACCGTCTACGACTTCATCATCAACTGCCATCTCCGCTCTGGAACTGTCTGGTCTCGGTCAAGTGTCTTGTGTCAGCGAAGCGCTCGAATAAGCTAAATCTTGAGATCTGAACCAGGCTCTGATACCGAATTCGATTCTGACCTCGTCTGCACCTCCCACCTCCCACCTCCCACCTCCCGTCGACGGCGCGAATACACTGTGTATACATATATATATAAATAATCATACGAGGCTGCATTGGATTGGATTGAGCTGTGCTGCCTTTCTTGGGAAGCTTTAGAAGGCCGAGTCGACGTCAGCAGCTGGATTGTTTTGCTTCCTTGTTACTCGAGAAAGCTGCATCTGCCGAGAGTTGGTTCAAGGGCCCCCGTTCACCGTTCACCGTTCACCGTCCACCGTTTACCGTTCACCGTTCACGACCGCTACGCATTCCACAAAGGGCGTCCACGACACTAACACCAACACCAACACCGATACCGATACCAACACCAGCACCCCCCGCCACATTACTCGAGGCGAGACGAGACGAGCCGAGCTGAGCTGGGCTGAGGCGCCAGGCCAGGCCAGCGTCCTTCTGGTGGGTGAACCGGTGCGACGGTTACGTGCATCGGCAACGGCAACACCACGATATTGTCTTTTCTACGCCTGCCGCACACGCACGTTTCCCGAACCTCTGATCGGCGGCGACAGGAAGCCCCTTCGCATATATCTTGTACAATGGCGCCACCAAGCAGCCAAAATAGACAGAGGTAAGGTACCGACCTCTCTATCTAGCACTCCAGCCAGCCGCCCGCCCTCCTGCCCATCTGCATCCACCTCCACCTCCATATCCACCTCCAGCTCGATCTCCACCTCGACCTCCACCACCACCTTCGCCTCCTCCTCCTCCTC